AGACTCTGGGGGTTGTGACTTGTAGTACCTTCACAGACAGAAGTTAAAAACATCCATGGTTCACTGCCTTCTGGGTCATTAAAGTGTCCTGTCCCCTCTGCTCATCTGTGTGTTCTGTTCATGTGCAAAGACAAGATTTGGTGACAGTGACCACAGGACTTGGTTTCACATCCCCCTCTCTACCCCCACCTGCCAGTTTATTATTATTATTATTATTTTCATAAGACAGCCTGGCAGGCTGGGAGCTTACTAAGGAACTTTTTCCTCTCTGATTACAAGGGATGTGTGAATAAAGTAGAATGGTATTGATTCACACCAATCTATGCATCGACTGTGTGGGAGCCACTTGCAATTCCCAGCAGCACTGGAAAGCTTTGCAACAGGGAGAAATATGACCAGGCAAGTTGAGAAAATAAATTAAACTAGTGTCAACTTTTCTTGTTTCTTCCCTCATTATTAATGGATGGAATGGGGCTCGTTTATCAAGAAGAGGAAAAATTAATTGACACGGGCTTTAATGTTATTATGCCTGGCTTGTCTGGTCACATTTCTTCATTTTTAATTTTTTTTTTTACTTTTGAAAGGCATTTTATTACCTTTCACAGGACCAGCTGCCAAAACTATGGGTATAAACAAGAAAGCAGGTGCATAAATAATACCACAGCAGGGCTGGACTTTTCTGCATTTCAGAGCTGAAGTAGCTGAGACGTGAGGAGCAGAGCAGAGGTGGGTGAGCAGGGCAGCTCCCGAGCCCTGGCACGGAGGGGAGCCCAGCCTGAGCTGCTGTTTCCTGGTGGATGTGCTGGGAGGTGCCAGGCTGGGTATCCCCCTCTGTCAGCACAGCCACTCCGGGGGCAGCTCCCCTGGCAGGGCTGGAGGGACCCCGGGGCCCATCCCAGGGACAGATGGGGGGGTCAGGAGCAGGTGGTCCTGTGGAGCACTCAGTGTGACAGGGGGCTGACCCTGCTCCCACAAACGCCTGTGGGGTGATTCTTGCTGGGCAGCACGAGCCAGGTTTGGGCAGAGCCCTGCTGGTGTGAGAGGCCTGTGCAAATCTCCTTTGTCCTCTCCCTGCTCCTGTCCCCTGCCCTTGTAGGGACACTTTCCACTGTCCCAAGTTGCTCCCGGCCCTTTCCACCCTCCCAGGGAGGAATTGAAGTGATCTGTGCCTGCAGGTGGAAGTTGGTGTGATAGGGCTGTGCGAATCCCCTCCTTTGTCCTCTCCCTGCTCCTGTCCCCTGCCTTGTTCTTTGGGATTGCTGTGCAGGACAAAGGAGCCCTGGTGATCCCCTGGTTCCCAGAATATTTTCAGGAGCTCTGTGGTTGCTGTAGGTGCAGGATGAGGCTGTCCCAGCTGCAGGTTCACCAGCAGTGTTGGCATAGCTCGGGCACAAGCAGCGCAGCAGATGGGATGGAGTGACTCACTGCACATCATCAGGTGACCTCCAGACAGCTTGGGGCCTAAACCAGGCTTTAGCTGCAGTGTGTTCACCCACCAGGGCATCCTTCAGGTGGCTGGGGAGCCCCTGGGAGCTGTGCCTGCCTGGTGATCTGGGTTTGGCTCAGGTGGTGGTGGAGGTGCTGTACCTGTGGCATTGCTCTGCCTGAGAGCCCTCCAGGGTTTACCCCAGCATTAGCCTGGTTTAACCTCTGTGGCCTGGGATGCACTCACCTTGTTCTGCTCGTGGAAAGGGCAGCAGAGGTTTGGCAGTGAGACCTTTGCCAGGTGAGCTGCTTTGGTGTCACCCTCAGTGTGTGCAGCCACAGCTGTGACCCGGATCACTGTGCAGCCAGAGCTGGCCTCTGGGAGTGGTGCTGCCAGCCAGGGAAGGGAGATGCATTTCATAGCCCTGGTGTCGTCATCTCAGCTATGTTTTACCAAGTTTGACATAAAAACTCTCAAGTGATGACAAAAGTGTGAAATGTAGTTGGTTAGAGTGTGAAAAAACCCAAAATACAGAGCACGGGAGTCCTGACATTTGGTATCTTCAGTCTGGCTTCTTAATAGTATTTATGGCTTCTGACTGTTCTTTTGCAGTATTTTAATCTGTTTATGGTTTCATTCCCTTCCTCTGAGCAATGTTTGTCTTATTTCTGGAATACCATGGCAGAACCTGCTGAGCTGACTGTGGAGCCACCTTCCCACAGGGCAGCTTTGGTGGCTTGGCATCAAAGGAGGTTTTCCACAGAATCCCAGAATCACTGGGGTGGGAAAAGACCTCCAAAAGCACTGAGTCCAGCCTGTGCCTGATGCCCACCTTGTCCCCAGAGCCCTGAGTGCCACCTCCAGCCCTTCCTTGGGATGGGCACTCCAAACCTCCCTGGGCAGCCCCTTCCAACCCTTTCCATGAAGAATCCTGGATTCTTCTCTTTTGTGGTGTCAGGGTGTGTTGGAGGACGTGTCCTGCACCACTGCATGTCAGGTGTCTGGGCTGGCATCACTTGGGTGCCTGTTGGTGCCCATGAACCAGCAGATGAATGGAGTGGGCTGACTCCTTTGGCAGCAGACGAATGGAGTGGAATAACTCCTCATTCCCAGTAGATTCCAGAGGAGGGTTTTTCACCTGAAGGTCATGGATACATGTCTCAGCTTCCTTTAGTGCTGGTGCTTGGCTCAGAGCCTCTCGTTTGGGGCATCTGTTTGCCTCTTACTTTATTTTTCTATCTCTTCTTTGTCTTTTCTTTTACAGAAAAGATTATTCAAATGAATATTCAGTTTTATTCATTTGAATAAAAAACCCAACCGTTTGACTCTGTTAAATGCTTATCTCTTAAATAGAGCTTGTTAGCTTCCAATAATAGCTTCATTCAGAAGGATGCAGTATAATTTCATTTTAAAACGTGTGCTCCTTGACAACCAGAATCCTATTTCTGTCACCGTTTTCAACAGCCGCCTTTGTTTTGGGTTAATCTTTTCCATGCACTTTCTGAGAACCAGCTTTTTGTTGACTCTTAGTACCTCTCAGAAGAAATAATTGTCTATTTAGCCCAGGAAGGTTTCTGAGAGTTTTGGTAATTTAAATATGAGTTTGTATTCATTATGGGAACTAATAAGACCGTGCGTGCGGGGGGATCTTTGTGTGGGTGCAGTTATTAAAAGTTGGAATTTGATACCCACAAAGTGGAGCAAGAAGAGCATCAGAGAATGGTCACCTCTGGTTTTCCTCTCCTTTTCCTCTCCAGGCCAGTGTGACCAAGTGCCACAGATCTCTCAGAAACCCACAAGTGCCTGCTAACACCTACAGATTGTTGTTTAATCTTGTAAAATCTGGAAATGCAGAAAGCTGGGTGGCCATCTGATTTAATCAGACAAATAATTTCTTGATAAACCTGTGCTTAAGCCATATGGAGTGGGATGAGGGTGGGAGATTTGTTTCAGTCCAGACACGTAATGAGTGCAGCGGCTTCCTCGGGTGTGCACATATTAGGGCTAATCTCCTAAATTCCCTGTGCCCTCCATCCTGGCACCGACACCTCACACAAGTTGAGAGAGGAGCCCTCGACTGCAGCACTCGCTAATGAGCTGCTAATGATGAAGATGTTGCTGGTGCTGGAACAATTAATGACTTGTAGCCCCAGCCCGGCCATCTCATCCCTGGTCCAGGCTTTGCTCCCAGCTCTGGGATTCCTGGGATGCCAGATTCGGGCACTCAACCACAAAAATCCTCGGTTTAACTGCAGGTCTGTTTAAGGTAGATTTAAATGGAGAAATTTAGAAGGCAAATGAAAGACGTGAGTTATGTAAAAAAATGGAAGCTGCTGCCTGCTCTAGGTGCAGAGCAGAGCAGGGCGGTGAGCCTGGTGTGCTGTGTGATGCCTTGGAGGAGGGCTGGGACCCGTTCCTGGTGATCCTTCGGGTCTGCAGTGGAAGGGGAGCATTCCCCACGGCTACAGGCTCTGTGCACTGCCAGAAGAGCTGCCCGGGGCTCACCTGGAAATGCCCTTTCCTCCCCAGGCAGAGGCAGGGCTGGGGCTGTCCTGTCCCTGTGCTGCCTTCCCCAGTGCACAGCCCAGCAGCTTCCAGTCTGGGGATGGGCTTCATTCATTAGCATAATTAGCATAATAGTGTCGATGTTCACTCACGGAGCCCTCTCCAGCACACGAACCGGGGTATTTTCCATTAGGCTGAGGTTTTTTGTTCAGGCAGGAGCGGGGAGCAGGGTGGGCTGCCAGGTGCCTTCAGTGCACAGCCACAGGCAGGCAGCAGGCATCAAACAGCCCAGACCAGCCCAAATCCTCGGCCCTTTGAAGCAGCACTGAGAAGAGAGGAACGATTAGATCAGAGGCCTGAAGTGTAATGGGTTCCTGGAGGCCTCAGGATGTCCTGATGAGGTATTAGAGGAAGTAATTCAGGAAGAAAGGGACAAATAACCACCTCCGGAGCAGGGCTGACCCGGCAGCCAGAGCACACACAGCACACAGGGCTGCTCTGTGTTCGGGAGGCTCTGGGGTTTTTCTCCTTGCCAGGGGTAAATGAGGAATCATCTTCTGTCTTCCCAGATTTTTATGGTTTTTGGGTCGTGTAATGAGTCAGCTCTAATGGAGAAGTCCCGTGGAATTAAACAAGAGATGAAATCAATATGGTTCCATAGAAATATAATTGGGTTTTGTAGAGATTGCTCTTAAAAACCTTTAAGGTGTAAAGGAAAATACAGCCCTATTGTAGTTTCCGAGCCATCATGTAACTGGGGTGTAACTATCCATTAAATTCTGCAGGATGGATCAAAAAATCCATAAGGAGGTTTTAATTCTCCATTAAATCCTATGGAAGAGCTGGAACAGAACAGTATTAATTTTCCCTCAGACAATGCTTCTTCCCTCCATTAGGCTGCAATAAGCTCAGGAACAGCTCCATAGGCAGCAGGTGTAGCCACACATGTGTGTTGTTATGGAAGTTTTCCAAAGTCCCAATGGCTAAATAATGCTTAATTAAAATGAAATTGTTAAATTTAACTAATGTTTTCCTCACCCCCTCCCCTTTTTGTATCTTTATTAAACAGGATTTGGCTTCGTAACTTTTGAAAACGAAGACGTGGTGGAAAAAGTCTGTGAAATTCATTTCCACGAAATCAATAATAAAATGGTGAGTGTTGGTGCTGTGCTGTGGGGGTGCCAGGGGGCTCTGAGCCCCCTCCCTGCTGTGTGCTGTGCCCAGGGGAGGTGGGATACCCCTCGGGGAGGGTGCTGGGGTCAGGGTGCTGAGCTGGCAGCCCCTGCTGTGTCCCCAGGGCCCAGGCAGCTGCCCCAGAGCAGCGTTGGGTGTCAGAACCCCGGGGCAGGGTGTGAGCTCAGCTCCTCCTGCACACAGCCCAGCTGAAGTTCCTCCTCAGTGGCAGGCAGGTCCCAGGTTGTGGGTTGCCCTGAGCCAGATGAAAAGGGGCATTTGTATTTCAATTGCTGCAGTAACTTTGATATTTTCGGCTAAAATATTCTTTTTCCCTTTGTCAAAACATCCTTTGCTTCTCAAATGTGTATTCAGATATGCATTGTATATCGGTCTGATATGTGTTCACAGACTTTAAATTTAATAATAGAGCTTTTAGTGTGGATAAGATCAAAGCAATCTCCTTGGCATATGCTGGAGGCCTGATTCAATATTTGACTTGCTAATTTTTCCCAGGGCACTGAAATAATATTCCTCATATTGTTGCTCCCTGCAATATGCATCTGAAATAAAAGTGATGGTCCCTTGGCCAAGTGTGGGGTGGGTGGTGGGCAGGGCTGGGGCAGTGCCCCTGCTCCTGTGGGAAGTCTCTTGCTCCATTTCCCATGGATGCTGTGGATTTGCCTGTCCCACTGCCCCCAGCCCCTCCTGCCCTGGGCTCTCCTCCCTGTCCCCCTGAGTGCCTCTGGGCTGGGGGAGCCTCGTTCCCTTTGTATCCTTCCTAAATGCTGCTAATCTGCCTTAAAACAGAGGAACAGAACAAACACCACCCAACAGAGCCAGTGAGGAGTCACAAACAAAGGAGAAACACTGGAGTGTGAATTCAGGGGTTGCCAGGTGGGAGGGGAGAGCTCCCCTCCAGGATTTTCCTGTCCGCAGCAGGAGGGACACTCCATAGGTTCAGTTATCCCCACCAGAGGCTTTTCTCTGGAGCAGGGCTCAGGAGGGCCCTGGGGAGGTGCAGGGGGAGCAGCAGGTGCTGGTGAGCCCCAGGCAGGGTCAGTGTTTGGTGTTCATCCCTGCATCTGCCCCCGTGGGCTGGGAAAGCCTCAGCTGGCTCTGGGCATCTCCTGGCAGGGGAGGAATAGCACAGAGCTCTTGGGGGGATTCCTTCCCAGGAAGGGAGCAGGGAGCATGAGGCAGGCTGAAAACACTCCAGGAGCCTCAGAAAGAGCAAGAGAAACAGTTCTGAGTGTTGGTGTTTGCTGTTGGGTAATTAAAATGTCCCCTTCCCACTCCTCTGCCCGCTCTGTGCCCCCTCCAGGTGCCACCATCTCCGAGTGTTCCCTTCATGTCCCTCCCTCAGCCCTGACTCTGAAAGCAGCCCACGAGCAGGGGATGAGCCACGAGCCTGTCTTGGGACTGAGTCATGGCCCTGAGCTGTGTGTGCAGCTGCACCACAGCCCCTGCAGGGCCAGGGCGCTGTGTGTGCTGTGACAGGAGCTGGGGCTGACACACTGGAGCTGCCCTGGTGTGACACTCAGCTGCCAGGAGCAGTGCTGGGCTCCTGTCACACTGGGACTGTGTCCCTGAGCCATGGAGGGGACGGGCTCTCACAGCCTGAGGCCATGGGGTTTGGTGAGCTGCGACTGGGACACCCTGTCCTCATCCCCATCTCTGCCCGTGTCCCTGTCCCTGCCCATGTCCCTGTCTCTTCCTGTGTCCCTGTCCCCTTCCCTATCCCCATCCCTGCCTGTGTCCCTGCCCGTGTCCCTGTCCCCATCCTGGCCTGTGTCCCTGTCCCCTCCCTGCCCGTGTCCCTGTCCCTGCCCATGTCCCCATCCCTGCCTGTGTCCCTGTCCCCTCCCTGCCCGTGTCCCTGTCCCTGCCCGTGTCCCTGTCCCCATGCCTGTCCCCATGCCTGTCCCCAAGCCCAGGATGGCTCAGTTGCCAATGCCCAGCTCCGTGGGCTGGGGCTGTTGTTCCCCCAGCTCCCTCCTCCTGCTGCTGCTGTCCTGGCCGTGTCCCCAAGGCAGGGCAGGCAGAGGGCAGCAGGGCCGCTGCTCCCCAGCCTATTTCCAGCTCCAGCCTCCCTGGCAGGCTATTTTTAGCTCATCCATTCTGCTTCTGTTGCCATCCATAAAGCTTAGAATGTCAAATGTAATATTAAACGAGCAGTGGGACAGTGAAAAGAAAATGCCAGCGAGGTATTTAATAAATGGAAGTTGGAATTTATGTGGGAGGCCAGAGATGCTCCAAACATTGCAGGGGGACAATAAACCCAAACGAGCTGTCCTCAGATTGTTGTTCCCTTGACACGAGCAGGCTGCTTTGCAAAGAGCCACCTGTTTTTCTAAGGAAGAGTAAAAGTAGCTGGAAGAGAAATGTGGTGGAGTAATTACCTTCCCTTAGATCCCCCTGTGGTGGAGTCACCCACATGCTGGGTACAGTGCTGGTGAGATGAGCTGAGCCTGAGTCAAGCTCTCATGTCAGCCTCTCGAGCAGCTGACTGAAATGTTGACTATTCTAGAACAGGCTGGGACACTCCCAGCACCTGTGGCTCTTCCTCCCTCTCAGGCTGGGATTTTGCAGGTTTTGTGGGCCTTGGGCTCTTCCAGGGATGGGGCAGCCACAGCTTCTCTGGGCACCCTGTCCCAGGGCCTGTCCCAGACCTTTTAATTCCAAGCCCCAGCCATTGATCAGTAAAGTGGTAAATCAACAGACCCACAACTCAGTGCATTTTTTAAACTAAGCTGAAAGCCCCTGTGCTGCTGCCTGGTGTGGCTGGCCTGGTGTGAGTGACACGTTGTCCCCAAGGTGATTGCAGCCCCTCACACGTGGCTGGCACAACAAAGTCTCCTTGTCTTTGGGTGGCTCAGTGGGGGTTTGTGCATTGTGGATATTCACATTCTGCTTTCCTCAAAATAGCCCTGCTTTCCCTGGAAAGCTGTTAACCAGGGGTTTGTGAGACATCCTGGGCTGAGGGCTGACAGCCTGTTTTGTTGTGCTGGGTATAAGAGGCTTTTCACTCCCCAGCTCAGCCCTCCTGGCTTCCCGTGGCTGAGACTGCTCTGCTTGACCCAGGAGTACCCCAGTGCAAGGTTAATTCTCCAAACTAGACTAAACAAAAATAGTGAATTTTAGTTTCCCTGCCTTTTTTTTCTTTTCTTTTTTTATTTTTTTTAGCCTTAGAATTAAACCTTTCTTTGTTGGGCTGCTGAAAGTGTAGCACATCCTCGTATGAGGAGGTGGAAAAAATCTGGAAATTATTAAGATGCCCAGAAACTCTGAATTGAAAGTTTGAGTGAGGTCCAGATGTGTGTACAAAGACCCTTATCAGGCACTCTCAGGGGCAGTTCGGTGTGGAGCTGAGTCCTGACTCATAAATCCATACACATTTCCTCTTGGAGAAGCCCCATTGCCTGTCCTGTCACATTTGGGACATCCCTCCAGGGCTTTCCCCTTGAGGTAACTGTGGCTCTGGAATGTCCTGGCCATCTCCATCCCCTTCCCTGTAAGGACAGGGCTGGATTCTGGCAGAAGAGCAGCCGGGCCCCTTTTCTTTCTGCTTTTGCTGTTGATGAAGAGGCACCACCCAGGTCCCCAGGATATCCATGCTGTGGTGCTTCACTCCTGTGCCCACGTTGTCCCAGTTTGCTGATGGGATGGTGCATGGGCAGCTTGAGCAACTTCCCAAGGCAGCAGGAGTAACTGAAAGTGAAAGAATGCAGATCCTTTATTAATAGGGTTTACAGAAATTTTCTGCTGGGTAGAAATATTGATTCTTTATTCCTATTTTAAAAGGAGCTTTTTGTAATGATCACTGGGAGTCGTTCTGTGTTATCGATTGCAGCAGAGCCGTGCTGGAGCCCTCCCTCCATTCATCCCTCTCCCACTAGTGCTGGGTTCCCTTTCAGGAACACAGAACTTCTTAAATCAGCACTTCTGTCATCTTTGGGGGCTGCAGTGGGTGGTTAAAGAGACACACACGTTGGCTCTTTCAAACCTGGTTACGCTGTTCTGGAAGTTCACCTTTGAGCGGGAGGAGGTGCGGGGAGGCAGATGCTAAAAATAAACCTCCCCCCCCTTAAGTAGATCAGTTCTGCATTTGACATTTACATGGAATTCATTTGCATCTCATTTGTACATGTTTCTGCTCAATAGGTAGAATGTAAGAAAGCACAACCTAAAGAAGTGATGTTTCCACCAGGGACGAGAGGAAGGGCACGTGGATTGCCGTACACCATGGACGCGTTCATGCTAGGGATGGGAATGTTGGGTAAGTGCAAATCCCCACACCTGTGTGGGTGCCAGCCTGCAACTTTAGCAGGGGTGGAGTGAAGAAAATAATCCTGTCTGTGGTAAATGATTAACTCTCCCCCCCCCCCCCCCCCCAGCCTGGAATATAAAAAATTTGCATTTAAATGGATGTTTTAAATAGCCTCTTTTACTCTTACTCGCAAAAATAGAATGATGAAAGATGCAGTGTGTTCATTCTGACTAAAAATGATCTCTCCCCTTTTTTAGAGGAATTGAGTCACACATTATTCCCCTTCTTTTAAAGGTAGCTTTGACAGTTCAGCACAGATAATTGAAAATCTTGCTGGTTCTTAAATGGCATGGATGGAAGAAGTGGGGGGATGCGGAACAGGACAGGTCACAACAATAATTACAAGTTTCAAGGAGATGGAATGGTATTTTAGTCCTGAGTATTGTGTCCAGAAAATACTAATTAAATGGGATAAATGATACTTAATGGCAAATTCCTATTTGTGCAGGAGGTCTATTTAGTTATAATTGGTTCTCATTTGTTTCTGCCTAGATAATTCTTTCTAAATAATGTGACAACCCCAGTTACTCTGTTCTCGGCCAAAATGCTGCTAATCCATTGCCAATGTTTTGGGGTTTTTTTGTAAAACACTGTATATTTTAAACTTTCTGCTCCCTTTGTATCCCTGAACTTCCCCTCAGTTGCCACCTGCTGTGTCCATGAAGCACGTGGGAATGGGAGGGCAATCTGGAGGTGTCCCCAGGCAGCAGTGAGCCTTTCCCAGGCCAGTGTCCCCCTTCAGGATGCTTTGACTTTCCTCTCCTGGGTTTAGATGATCCCAGAAACCGAGCACAAAGCCCAGCCTTGGGATCTGGATTGCCCTGAGCTCTGCTGAGCAGATTCAGGGGCTGGCTGAGATGCTGGAGGACCCCAGAGCCCCTGGGGTGGGTGTCAGGTCAGAGGACCCAGTTCCTGCAAGGATCAGGCTGCTACACTGAGGTGTCTGACACCAGGCACTGCTTGATTTGATAGGAAGAACTTGCTGCCATGTTTGCTTTATCTCAGAATTAATAGTGCTTCTGTTGGTGTGGCTGGGGTGATCCATTTCTGGATGTGTAATCAGGTTACTGCAGCTCATCATCTGTTTTGCTGTCCCCACGCTCCACCACCACCCTGCCCCATAGTGTTTGGAAATCACATTTTATGCTTAAAATATTTATCTTGCTCTAGTCAGCCCGTGATTTCGTTACCTGTGTGTTCCCAGCCTGCCTGAGCCAGTGTACTCGAATTCTGCTGTTCCTCTCCCAGCTGGGCTGCCCCTGGTGGGGTGTGAGGGAGGCCAGTGTGCCACCGTGCTGGCCTGTCCTGCTGGCTGCAGGAGAGACAGCAGCTCACCCTGGGAAGCCAGAAAGATCCATGGCCTCATCCTCCATCCACCGTGTGGCCTCAGCCCTGTTCCTTGCAGCTGGGCACAGAGGGGATGGAGCTGGATCCACCCCAGCGTCCTGAAGGGAAAACTCAGCCCCCAGGTGCAGTGTGAGTCTGTTTCCACTGGGGCTGGCTGTCTGGAACAGGATCCTCTCAAGCTGTGAGAATTAAGGGAGGCAGCCCTCAGTGAGTGGAACTGCACAGAGGGAGAGCTGGGGCACCTGTTGGAGCTGCTGCAGTGGGGTCAGCCTGGCCAGTGCAGCTGCAGCCAGTCCCACACTGCTCTCCCTGCATTTCAGACTGGGGGGACTGGCTGAGCATTGGTGATTGATCCATGGTGAAGGCCAGATGCTTCATTATCCACTCGAGCTGGTTTTTCATCTTCCAAGTTCCTGCTTGCTACCGTGGCACTGTGTTAAATAATTAAGTGCTAAACAAGGAGATTGCAGCACGGGAGAGCAGAGCTGCTGGATGGCTCTCAGAAAGCCCCTGTTTCAAAGGCTGCAGAGCCTGTCCCTGCAGGAAGAGGGGCATAATTAACCCATCAAATGATCAGACACAGAGTTCCATCACTGCTGCTGCTGATTGTTCTGTGGGGACTCACGAGGCCAGGTCAGGTCTGCCCCATTCTGTTCCTTGCCCAGCTGGACGGAGCCAGAGCAACTGGGGCTGCTCTGGAGGGGTTTTTATACCTGTTTCCAGAAATCCTTGCTCAAGGTCACCTTCTCCAGCTGCTGTTCCTGGGCAGAGGAGGGAATCAGAGGAACGAACGCACGAGACAACCCCAAGGAAGGAGCGGGGAGCGACTCCCTCCAAAGCTATTAAGGAAGTTGGTCTTTTTCATTAATCACAGCCTCCCCAAGGAGCCTGCAGCAGCCAGGGTCTAAAGGTGCGCAGGCAGCCGCTTCTGTGATGATTTGGTTGATTGGAGCAAAATTAAAGTGTTCTGAAAGGATTTTTTGACTGGGAGAGCGGGGGCAGGCTGAGCCTTCTGCCAGGACGGCTGCTGGGCTGGGGCTGGGGCTGGGACACGCTGCTCTCAGAGAGAGCAAGGGCTCTAATCAGCCTCTCTGCACAGAGAGTGGAGCAGAGTCAGTCCCACTCCTCTCCCTGTCAGCCCAGCCAGCAGTCAGAGCTGCTCCCCAGCCCCTTGCATGCTCACAAACAGGCCCTGTGTGCCCCTGGGTGGCTGAGTAGGAGCAGTTTGGTGACCAGGAAACCCTCTCTGTGCCTGGAGCCTCACACTGGCACCTGGCCCTGGTGTGCTCTGTCACCCAAGGGTGTGGGTGTCACAGCACTGCCCCAGAGCTTTTTGTGCTCTGTTCAGGTCTGTGCCTGGAAACTTGTAAAGAAGAGAGCAGCAGAGGAGCAACATGAAGAGGAGATGGTTTTTGTGTCCCCTCTCATCTGGAGCTGCTCTCTGTCTGGGACACTGCAGTCACCACAATGGTGACACACAGCTCTGGAGGTGACCCCGTGCTGCCTGCCTTGAGCTGGGGCTGGCAGCACTCATTTCTCCTGCTGGTGGGCATCATCCTGGTGTTTAATGTTAGAATTGGGCTCCTTTCAGCTTGCAAACCCCTCCAGAGCTGGGAGCACTCAGCCCCCCAGGCTCACCCTGTAGTGCTGGAGTGATGTGAGGTGGGAACACGGGTTTGGGCAGGTCCCTGGCAGGGCTCTGTGTTCCTGCTCACGCTCAGTCTAGGTGGGCTGAGCTCATGCATTAGAGAAGCTTGTGCCCTTCAAAGAAAGTCATTCCTTTTTCTACCAGACACTGTTCAATGGAGTAGCAGCTGCAACTCAGAGCAGCATTTGGAGACAACATTTCCTTCCTTGCATTTTCTGGAGCATTTGAACTAATTTTGCACGGGTCCCCTGGCTCCTGTGTGCTCAGCATTCTCACATATTGACCATGAGCTTTTGTCCACCCCATTAGCAAATTTTAAAATGAAAAGAGTTCCACAGCCTGGACAGGAGCTGGGTAGAAGCAGTGGTGTGAAAGTGGTTTGGCTGCTGGTTTGAGTTCTGCTTCTGTGCACAGGACAGTCTTGCTTTGAAGGAGGCAATGCAGTCAAAACTTGGATTTTTGGTTCACTTACCAGGAATTGGTCACTCCCCAGGACTACCAAGGCAAATCAGCTTCTTGGTGCCCAGTGCAGGATGAGGATGGCACCTAATGGGAATGTTGGGTAGGTCAGCAGGGCCATCATTTGGCCTGATGAAGCATCCATGTAGGCGTGGTGTTAAACACCATTGATATTCAGCCAGGCAATGTCCCCACGAGGATCAGGCTTCGAGTCGTTAGAGCAGAGCTGGGCACTGCAGCAGTAAATGAAGAGGAAAATTGAAGTAATGTTGTATTATAAATTTATGATTTCATCTGCCTGACTTTGAGAGCGCCGAGTGCTGGCGGTGCCAGCAGAGCCCCCGGGCAGCTTGGCTGCTGCTGGGGCTGTCAGGCACAGCCAGGTCTGGCCAGGGACAGCAGGGCTGCCCTGGGGTCAGAGCCTGGACCGTGTCAGGGCAGGCAGCAGCAGAGGTGGCATCCAGAGCACCGTGGGCAGCTGCCATCCCCCACCGTGCTGACCTGGCTGGGGCCACAGGTACCACACCTGCAGAGCTCAGGTGCTGCCCAGCACCGTGCCCTGGCAGTTGTGAGCTGGCAGATCTGCTTCACAGCTGTCTGAGACAGAGCAAACTGAGTTCCTCCTGTTGGCAAGGAGAGAGGGGCTGCAGTGGACGCTGCAGAGCGATTTTTCAGGGGTGTTAATGGCGCTACTTACTTAGCAAACAATCCATTTATCAATAGTGTTGCTTAAGAAAAAAAAGAAGGGAAAAAAGGTTTGTAAAGCTTAACTCTGAAGGATCTGACTTAATGACAGAGGTGATTAATTTCAGAGGGAATCCAGCTGTTGAGCTGTGCAAGGAGGGCTCAGCAGCGTGTACATACCCTGGGCGTCGCGGGGCTGCCTTCCTGGCACTGCCTAATCCCACATCAGAATTCATCCAGGCATTTTTATCTTCCACTTCTAGATTATGATTTATAGTAGGCTGCACGTATGTACAAATGTGATCGGAAATGGAGGGGCTTGCTGCAGCAGGAGAGCAGCTGAGTGATGGATGAGTGTGTTACAGGATGAATCCAGGCAGGGGAGCAGCCCCCCACAAGAGCCACTCGGCTGCTGAGCCTGTTCTGGGCTCCAGCCCAGCTGCTGCCAAGATTCCCACTGACTTCAGACAGCAGGAGAGAACTTTTCCTGATGGGCTCTTGGTTTGGAGAGGCCTGGGCTGATGCTGAGGCTCATTCTCTAGTGTGCAGTGCACTGGAATTGTGCGGCACGGTGCCTGTTTTTAAGAAAACTGAGTGAGGAAGTGTTGAGGATCAATGTGAGGTTGGAATTTTAGGAAACCCCCTGAGTGCACAGGGCACCTTGGGACATTGGCCATCTGGGTCAGAGCAAATAGCCCCTGTGGGACCGAGGGAATGGCTGTGGGGAAGTTAAAACAGGGGTGGCACAGTGTGTGACCCGAGGCCAGGATCAGTGGGACACCCAGCACATCCCTTCACAGGCAGAGAGTGAAGCCAGCAGAGTTGCCTCTTTGTGCCTTTACTGTTTTTATTCACGAAATGCTCTCAAGTGAGCTTTTCCCCTAATAAACCTCCCAAAGCTGCCCGAGGTCGGCTGCTCTGCCTCAGAAGGGGCCTTCAGAAGCACCTCGGGCAGCTTCCTTTTACTTTCCTGAAAAATTAAAAGCTCTTTGACTCCCTGGCTCGTTTCTGCTGCCTCCAACTCTTTGATGTGTTAACTGTTGTCCTTCACACTCCCGGGATAAAGAATTACTACTACCTTAATCTCCAACTGTCAATAGCTCTGAAGCAAAGTACATTCATTGTAAGCTCTCCAAATGTCAGAGCAAACCCGTGTTATGTGTTTAGCCTTAGCATTTGGCATTTACTCTTCCAGCTAACAAGTATGCACAGTCCTTGGGCTCCAGACACCAAAGTGCATGTTAATTACCAGAGTGACAGGGCTCCTGCTCGGAGCTGGGCCAGCGCCGCCAGCTCGAGATGTTTCTATTCAGGATAATGATGAAACCTCTCCGCAGTTTGGCATGAGCGGAATAAATCTGATTTTTTAATACCCTCCGTAAAATTAGGTCTCACCCATCCTCCCTGTCGTTGTGCATTGTGTTAAAAAACAAACAAACAAAAAAAAAAACCTTCAAAAAACACCTTCATTAATCCTTAAACTTCTCTCTCTCTTTTTTTTTTTGTTTTTTTTACATGTCTGTGATCAAGGTTACCCGAATTTTGTTGCAACATATGGCCGAGGATATCCTGGATTTGCCCCAAGTTACAGTTATCAGTTCCCAGGTATGTACATTTCGTTTGCAGATATGCTTTATTTCCCCTCTTTCCTTCTTTTTTTTTTTTTTTTGTTTTTTTGGGTTTCTTCCTTTTTTTTTAAGTCTGTAGCTGCAAGCTGAGACAGGCAAGTCTGCAGGGAGCATCTCACACAACAGCAATTTTATTTTTTTTTTTTTTAGCATTTTAAAATAGACTTTTATAGCGACATATTTTCAACACATTTTTTTCCTGATGTATAAATTGGTACTGGTTATTTGAAAACAAACTTATTAAATTAAAACCATGAAAGCAAGAGAGATCACTGGAGAGCTGTCCCCCTCCCTTTGCTGGGTCTTTCCTTTGTAGAGCTGCACACAGGGACCCGCACACGGCTCCCCGTGCTGGCCTGGGGTAAGTGAACCTCACTGCTGAGTGCACAGCCCACCCTGCTGTGTCTGGGCTGGCCCTGGGGGTCCCTCCCAGGAGCTGCAGGTGTGTGGGGCTGGCCCTGGGCTCGGGTGGGATCCCCCTGCCCTCGGCTCGGGGGCAATCAGGCGATGGAAGCACAGGACAGGATGGTTTGGGCTGGAGGGGACCCCCAAAGGTCCAATCCCTGCAGTGAGCAGGGGCACCTTCCACAGGGTCAGGCTGCTGAGAGCCCTGCCCAGCCTGGCCTTGAGCCCTCCAGGGATGGGGCATCCCACAAAGCCCATCCAGATGTGCCCTTCCCAGCACATCCCACCGTGGGATGGCACCACACAGGGCTCAGGGTTTCCTCTCACCCCAGGGCTCTCCCAGGCTGCTGGGACAAGTGAAGCAGTGGCTTTGCTGTTTGGAGGGGCAGGAGGGAAACCAGCACCTCACAGGAAGGTTCTCTAGGGTGGCTGAGGGTGTGGACAGTGCTTGGCTACACCTGCAGCACGCTGGGGCAAACATGGAGCCGTGTGTGCAGCCCTAGGTCATCAGGATGAGACCCTGCTGTGGAAAAATGCAGATTGTTGTCATCTGTAGAGTGAGCAGATATCCTTGGGATGGGGTTATTGTGTGGCTGTTTCTTGCAGGACTGATAACACCGAGGGGAACAGCCCTGTGAGGGTTTGTTCACTCGAATTCACAAATGCCAGGGCTCTTCTGGAAGCTGAGCCACCTCTTCCCACCTGTGGTACATCTTCCCACCTGGACCAGGCCAGGTCTGAAACAACTGGGGTGTCAGGCAGACAGCAGAGCTGCTGGGGTGGCACAGGGCTGGTGGGGGACAAGGCAGCTGTCCCCAGATGCAGGTGACACCATCTGGTTCCTCTGGAACCAACAGGACAGTCTGGTCTGGCAGGATTGCAGCCAGGAGCTGGAGATGAGGAGGAGGCCTCAGCAGGTGTTTGTGTGTTGTCTCAGGCTCTGACTCCTCACAGTTCTATGTACCAGCTGATTCATACGAAGGCATTGAAGGAGAGACTCCTTTGATAGGTTTAATGTCAGAAATCTGCAGAGGTTAGAAGAGATTAATTACAAACATGTCTAAAGCAGCTGTGTTTGCTCACTGACAGCAAAGGCACCCTTTGACTCAACCCTTCCTTAGATGTATTTTTATGCAGGGCCTGTTTTTACCAAAGCAGGAGTTCCAGTTACCGCCTGGTTATTTTCAGTCTCCTGCAGAGATTGAATATGGAAAATAAATCCAGGTGTGTTGTCCCCACCAGGAAGCTGTGGGTCACTGCAGGAGAGCAGGAGATGCTCAGGGCCCTGTCTCACCTTGCTCAGTTCCCCTGCTCCCCTCCTACTCGGATCAGTTACTCCTTAGCAGCCAGCAGAAGCTTTCCAGAATTGTTGGGAGTTTCTCAGGTGCTTTGGGCTCAGGTCTCCACAATCACAGCCCGTTGGAGTGTCCTGGCCAGAGGTGTGGGCTGGGGAGTGGTGCAGCAGCAGGATGGGCTGTTCCTGCTGCTGGGGATGGGACAGGAGGGGCTGTCCCTGCTGCTGCAGTGTTTGGGGCAGAGGGCCCAGTGCCACAGGGCACAGCTTGGTGCCACGGAGCCTTTCAGGAGCAGGGCAGGAGGAAGGTGCCAGGTTTAAAACCTCGGAGTTGTGATTTGGAGGGAGAAGATCTTGGCTGTTTGTGCAGGAGCGTGCTGGGTGCGAGAGCTTCCCCTGCCTCCTGCCCTGGTGGTGCAGCCTCAGTACAAATACACAGAAAAATGTTCAGTCACACTCTGGGCTGCTCCCAGGAGTTCTGCCACTACCCACCTATTTGCATTCCCATTCCCTTGTCCTGTCCCTCAGGGGCTGTCCCATGTCCTCTCCCATGGCACGGGACAGCCCCTGGCTCCAGGGGCAAGGCACGCAACCCTTTGGCAACTGCTCTATCTCCTCCTATCCCATTATTCCTCCCAGCCCTTCCTCATGCAGTACATTGCCTCTTTTATTTTTTATTTTAATTGCAATCATTCCCTTTCTGTGTATCTTCTTTTTTTTTTTTTTTTTCTGGGACTTATCTTTTCAGTTTAATCTATTAATTTCTGTTCTTATTTCACTTTGCAGACTATTTGCCGATTTCACAAGACATAATTTTTATCAACTAGTTCTTAAAGATGCATAACAAATTAATCGGGGTTTACTACAGTGCTAATGAGAGAGAGACAGAGAAAGCCTGGGTGGTCCATGTTTAATATCAATGTCCACTGAAAAATTGCTGCTCTTACTGGCTGGTTTGATTGACTGGACTTTTTATTTTATTTTTATTTTTTTAAAGGCTCCATATCCTCACTGCTTTGAGTTTGCTTTTTTTTTTTTTAATTATTTTTTTTTTCCTCTGCTTTGTTATGAGTTTTTAATGCCCACTTGGAATGTAACTCACAAGGATGGGGTCAGGGGCGTTCCGAAGGCATGACTTCTCACAAACTTCTTAGAAATCACTTTATCAATGCAGCGAGAAGGATGATTGGGTTGATTTGGTCTCACAGACAGCCCCAAAGAGAGTGACTGGCCCTCTTTAACGTGGGGACATCCAGCAGTGGCACAAACCCCACCCCGAGGGCCGTCCCCTGTCCCTGCAGGGCTGTGGTACCCGGCTGTGCCACCCCGTGTGTCACAGCCCCACACCTGCCCCACTGGCCTGGGGCTCTCTGGGAGCTGCCACATCACACGAGGGCCATGCTGAGATGCCACCCAGAGAGGGGCTCAGGGCTGCTGCCCCACAGCAATTCCTGCTCCCAGAGCAGGGGCTTGGAGCAGCCTGGGACAGTGGGAGGCGTCCCTGCCCCTGGCAGGGCTGGCACTGGGTGAGCTTTAAGGTCCCTTCCAACCCAAACCATTCTGGGTTTCTCTGATTCTTTGATCTAACTCTGACCAGCGATGGTCCTGCACACTCCCTGCAGCTGCTTCTCCTTCCAAACTTTGCTTGCAAATCATGGGCAAATTTCCTAAATTGTGGCCAAGCTTTCCCTGCTTCAGCTGCATCACCTGCGCCTCTTCATCCCCACCCACATGGCAGGAGAGCTGCACGCCTCCATCCATTGGCTTTATTTAACATGACCAGATTCTGGAGTTTTGGGTAGAAAACACCATTCTCTTTAAATTCTGCTCTTCCTGAAGTGTTGCTGCCCATTTGATAAGTTTGTGAGAAGTATGGTGCATGCTTACAGTAGAACTGTAATGCATTTTAATGTTTGTTAATCCACTTGTTTAAAATGTCAGTGTCAAAGGCTCTACAATCCATGGCTGTGCTGTTCATTTCATTAAAGATGCTTGATGTAATACTTGGGTAGTTTTCTTTTGACTTTTCTGCAGGCAATAGCTTTTTTTAATCTGTATGGCTTCTTATTATTTTGTTTGGGGTTTTTTTGCTATGAATTGCTTTGCTTTTGTGAACTTGTCTTAGTGTGCATGATTTGCAAACATTTCAGCTATTGTGAATTTTCTCATTTTTTGTAAATAGTCCATCTGTGCTTTTCTTTTTTTTTTTCTTTTTTTTTCTTTTTTTTTCTTTTTTATGACTTTTTTCCTGTAAGTAACTGAGGTAGAAAATAATAATAAATTGTTTACAACGGATTTGCTGTGTTGCTGCTCTCTTAGCTTGCAATTTTAATAATTTGGTTTGGACACCCCAAATAACCAGTACCAATGACAGTTGAATAAAAGAATAAAATCATCACTCAAAATGTGTGACCCACTGTTTGAAGAACCTGCAGAGGAACAGTTACATGCAAGGTGTGTTTACAGCAAAAATTATACCAAAAAAAAAGACAAAATGCACTCCTAACTGGGGGGAGAGGAAATTGCAGCATCCCCCCTGGTCCTCCACACTGTGGTGGGATGTTCTGCACTGTCCTTTATCCCAGTTATATTTTCTCCCATCATCACCTGAGTGTTTGGGGATTGTCGAAGTTTCATAGAAGCCTTCAGGTTAGAAATTTAAATTATTTATTTTAATTAAGGGTTTGTTTGCTTGTATGTTTGTTAAAGCTTATTAAAACCTTTGTATATGGTGAGAGGTGAGGAAAACAAATATTTTCACAAACTTTGCAGAGCTCAGGGAAATATATTTGCTTATTAGTACTGGTGCTACAAAGGCCATGGGCTCAGCCTTGGGTCACGCTCCTGCAGTGCCTGGGGCAGTGGAAATGCAACGCAGGATGGTTCAAAGTCTCAGACTGATGGGGTTTGTTACTGTGAGAGCATTTAAACCAACTTTCTGTTGAGCTTAATTCAGTTTCTTTCCCAATGCCAGTCCCACAGTGTTCAGCCATCAGCGTGGGCAGGGAGGTACACAGTACCTGTGTACAGTTATGTGTGGTGCTCCCCTAGGAGGTAAGAACTAGAAAATAGGAATTTTCCAGGTGAGGAGAAGGAACTGGTGCCAAAGATAAGAGGAATTATTATGTTGTGCTTAAGGCTTCTTTGTCACGGTGTCTTGAGAGGAGGAGGAGAGGGAAGGAGGTTCCTGTGTCTGGGGTTTAGGACACCCCGATGCAGGTTCTGCTGCACAGGTTCCCCCTTGGTTAATCACCTCAAAGGAGAGTGCAGTGGAGATG